ACTCCGTCAGGAAAGAATCTATTGTGGTTTGCGGTGAAACGATGGCTGTTCGCAATCTGGAATTAGATTCGAGTGCAATAAATATTAATGAGACGTGGCGAACTTCGATGAATTTATTGCGCACCTGTCATGGGAACTACCATTGCCATACAACTTAGCGTTCTCAACACGATGAATGGTAATCGAACAATTGATACACAATGGAACGTGTTCTTGAATAGTTCCAGTCAATATTATAAACATTTCATTTGATCATCAACGATTAATTCCATTAAATTCGTAATTAAATACTAGCGGCATAATATTACACGATATACGTCGAGGAACCGACGGTTGCATTAACTTCTTCACGGTCTTTCTCTATTAGTTAATTTTATTACCCGCAAGAAGAGTGGAATGTACATTTGCCAAGAGCTCCAATTTAGCAAGTTTCACGCTGAACTGAGAAACGATTTCAAGTAAGGAAGCAACGGGAACGAACGTGGAATTTATCTAATTCTTCTACTTCGTGCTGCTTGATAAACGTCCACCCAAATGAAATGCCAAATAACTTACCCTTTGATTGCTATCCGTGGATATATATACTTATTTAACTCTAAAATGTACATTAGAAGTACATTAGATGTACATTAGAAATAGGTATACGGAAGACGATATAAGATGTAAATGAAACAAATTAAAAAATTATTATGATCAAAATTAATCTACGTTTGAAATCAAATAAAATAAAATGAAGTGTCAATACCAATCGATGGTTAAAATACCAAGGATTATTCCAACTGTAATCGTAAATTGTTGGTTAAAACGTCCTGGAACGTCGTATTCGAGTTCTTGCGAATCTTGCCTCTCCATCGAATGGATTCTTTCACGGAACGACACGTCGCGACACCGATTTCCGGTGAATCGGATCGAGGGGAACGTGACACGGAGAGCAGGGAGTAATGCGCGTTTGAAATTCAAAGGTGAATCGTGTTGCACGCAGAGAGGCGCGATCGATCGTTGAATCAAAGAAACGTCGCGGACGATGTCAGAAACGATACCAATGGTATTATGACAGATATTGTGCCGAAGGCAACCTATAATACAGCGAGAGACGCGAAAAATCTGTCGTCTAGTCGCAAAAGTCGAAATTTTTGAACATATACCATTTTTCTTGCCTGAGACTCTTTGAAATTTTATAACGTATACGCGTATTGAACGTTTTCGTATTCCTCGTGAAATTGTTTGGCGAAACAGAAACTTAATATTTGTCGTTCGTTCAGAAATCCTATTGATCGTTAATCGACTGTGTTTTAATAACTGATATCAATTATCATATCACAAGGAACTAGTATGGATTATTATTAGTCGTAACTGAATTCTTAGTTTAAAATTTGTCCTTGATCTTTTTAAGATCAATTTATGAAAGCGTGCAGAAGGAGAATATTGTTTTATTTGTACGTTATTACCGGACAGACGATACGTCGGACGATTACTTGCAATTCCTCGATTAAATAATGCGCATTATATCTCCGTATCTTTTGGAATCATTGATTGTACGAAAACAAAAAAATCCCATCTACAAATAAAACTATATCGAACATCGATGTTATTTTAACAGCTGCGCCTCCATTTTGTTAAATCTTCTATTCGGTTCTCTGTCAAATTCAATTCTCACGAAACATAGCCGAAACGTATTACACGATCCGGCCGGAACCACGAGCGTTTAACCTACAAAATTCTACGATCAACCCCGAAACGATGCTCCCCCCCCCTTTCTCTCTAAAAACAATTTATCTCACCACGTGGAGCGACTTTTCCACAAGAGATCGGCGGGTTTCCACGCCAGGCCGGGATACCAAGCGGAAATGACGACGTTGAACGCGTTCACGCTTGTACAGGATTTAACGAAAAATATCCAGCGACAGTCCCTCGTAAAGTCCCCTTGGTTTGTTCGACCTGTCAGAAATCGTTGCGTATCTCTGGCATCTCGTCATCGCGTCACCACGGTCTGTGACGGACGCAGCTGAAGTTGCGCTCGCGAGAAACATGGTTTAGCGCGAGTTTAGCCAGACTAAGCTGCAATTTTTCTCTGGCCACTCTAAATTAGAGTCAGGATTGTTGTTGTTGGGAAGCTACGACCTGATACGTTTGTCCAGCCACGATTCCCTGTTTTATATATTCAATACGTCCAGCTCTGTCGTTTGCATTTCACGCGAAATATCGCCGCGCTATTGTGCTTCTCCTCGTTGAAAACTCGACGACTGCTGATGCTACAAAAATATCGCTCGGTATTGTGAAAGATAGAACGTTCGTTTGATTCATGGTAGTAAAAATGTTCGTTGTGCTGATAAATTACGAAACCTTCTTTGTATCGTGCATTGCGTAGATTCTTTGATGTTGAAAGACAAAGAGATTGGTGGTCCTTGATAATTTAAACTTCAAGAAGAATATAAAGCGTTCTTGTTTATACGCATAAATTCCAGATATTAATGCTTCTGTCGATCATTGCGTCGACGAGTTACGAATCTTTTTTATACGGAATATCGTGTGTATCTTGTGACACAAAAACATAAAAAAGATAAGCGAACCGTGATAATTCATCGAAACATGAACGAAATATATAAAGTGGCCTAGTTTATACGCACATATACATACATAAAAACACACACACAAATTCTGGACACTAAGAGTTCTGTTTCTGTCGATTGAAAGCGTAGCACGCTCGTTCGGTTTCTAAAAACGAAACGTCTCCGAGCGTATATCAAGCAGATAGGAGAAAGGTTTGGAATTGTGAAAGCGCACGATTCGTGTGCACGCGCGCATGGAACAGCAGAGTACGGGTAGTTGAACGATGGTTTTGCGAAACTTTTGAAACGAAGGACCTCGCGTACGTGCGCTGCCACGTGCAGAAGCGCGGTACAATTGTTTGTAATTGGGCAGAAAGCCAATAACATTCCGCAGCTGAAACCGAGGTGAACTTTCGACTGGTTTAGGATCTCGATTCCGAGGATAGTGGTCGTGCATCCGCCAAGGCACTGAATAAGTATGAAACAATGCGATTGTTATACACCGTTGTTATTGTTGTTTCTGCCTGCCTGTCATCCGGCTCATCGTTTGACCCCCTTTTCGAATTTATGCAAGCGGCTAAATTTCAATTCCATCGCATTCTCGAAATACACACGTTTGATTGGAATTATTTCTTGCAACGTGTAGAAGCAACGATTGCGCGTAATTGCAGTACTTCGAAGGGAAATCTTTGACAGCCCCCGTTTCTTCGTTTCGCATTAGATTAATTAACCACATTAACGTTTATTCGTTGGCGAAACAGTTATGTATTTACGACCGATTTTCCGGACTTTTTGTCAAGATAAATCGTTTTGCCTAGGAAATCCAAGATCAAACGAAGCTGTGAACCAATGATTATGTTAAACCTCGTCTCCTCGAATAACCACATTGTACTAATGCGAATAGCGCTGCTGCAATTTCAGTTGTCCTTGATCCCACGGCCTGCAGCCCGGGATTAATTGCACCTGGATTAATGGTTTCCCTAATCCCTTATTCGTACGTGGCAGTGACTTTGCGAGGCGGCTCTGCAAACCTGTCTTTCTTATCTCTCTTCGTTTCGTGTCTCTTTATTCTCTAACGATTAATTCTGTTTGACTCTGTTCGAAGGTGTTCCTTCGAATCACCCCGTTTCCTTCGGTCAAGGAAAATGTGATTAAAAATTTAATACCTGCAATAAACAGACAACTATGATTTTACAGAGAGATGTGCGATAAAGTTGAGATACAGCCGAATCCTTTTCAAAGTAACGTTTCTGTAGCTGGAATTTAAGTTGAATACATTGATCAAATTTTTATACAGGCCAACATAAACGGAGAAAAATATTGAGCTAAGTTGCAAATAGAAATCGTTCCATAATCATCGTTCCAAAAAGGTGTCAAACTATATCGCAAATTGGAATTATTTTATAATCATTATTCTGGAAAGATAACGAGTATGTGTACGTGAAACAAAGTTTTTATACCATTTTACAATGAAAAGAAATTAGAGGTATGTAGTAAAAGGTGAATCTGTACGATCGTTTCTCTCCATGTTCATCACTTGTTTCCAAGTCTCTTTTACAGACGACAAAGCGCGATTAATAACGATGATTGACTATAGTTGAATTATTGAGTTCACGTGTTACGGGTACTCTCATGGTAAACAGTCGAATCGCGACCATGTGTTTGTCAATCGAAGCGAAAATTGACCCACTTCCTGTAGCGCAATTATCTGCGCCTTCGTCTCTTTGTGCCGCGGTCTGCTGATCGCAATAAAACATCCATTTGCAAGTAACGAATAGAAAGCAGAAACTGTATAACGTTAATAATTCTTGTCTGAATGCCGGAATAAACGATAATAATATCTATTAGACAAACTCGAGTATTGTCTGATATGATTTGATAACAAGGAAAGATTTTCTAATACAATCGAGCCAATCAAGAATTAAATTGAGTAATTTCATTTACTGGAAATTTCACCGTTCTAGCAGAATACGTGACGACTATTTAATTTTTGAATGGGATTGTCCTCTTTTTTATTTCCGTATAGCCCGACTAACAATCTAAATAATGAAAAATTCTGTGTATAGTTTATATTAGAAAGTATAACAATTAGAGTCAATGGATTTATTAAGTATAATAAATAATCGAAGACCACGGGAGCAATTTCCTATTTCAATAGTTAGTTTGTGATTAAATTGAAGTGAATAGGCCGTGATAGTTGTAGTTGCTGGCTGTAGAGTGTGGAGGCCGACTGAGATACCGAGATAGGTTCTGCGTACGGGTGTAGATGTCGCTGCTGGGGTACTGTTGCATTTTCTTCTCATTTTTGTATCGTGGAAGAAAAATCGGACTACGGTCGCCGGGATTTTAATCCCGGTACCGAACGTTCGTAACTTAAGGCGCTAACCACTGCTTTTCTATTTTTATAACGTTTATTGCCCAGTAGATGAGTATTAAATGTGTTACGTTATTCATAACAAACAATGAATTTCGGTTGTGGGATGGTTTAGGCAAAAGTACCGATACGTGACGGTACGACATAGCCATACAATGTTTTGTGTGTCGAAATTACATTTTTTAGCGTTACTATTTTTAAATTTGATTTAAGTCGCTGTAGAGCGCTGCTTATATACGATATTGTTTTTTCTTCCTATCTCTGTCCTGAAAAAACTGGTCGCAAAAACAGGACAGCTCGGTAGTCTACTTACGCTAACCACTGCGCTACACCGTCGTCCGACACTAGTTGGTGTCGTCCGGTGGTATTTGCTGTCGAGTGCCGCCACAGTACCCCCTTACCAGTGATAAACGTTCCTTCTATGTGTGGTAAAGCGTCAGCCATTTGTTGCCAAACCCGTGCAGATGTTGCGCGAAGTCTTCGATGTGGCGGTGAATACCGTCGGTACGGTGCGGGGCGTTCCGCGTACGGTCGTAGGCCTCTGTTCCTTTTTTCAGTATGACGTGCTGGTAGTGATGCCCATGAACTTCGCAATGACCACATCATCACTCCTGGCTTGGTCATCGTCGTCTCCGTATCCTGTCACCTGCTTGCGTGGGTCAGCGGTGAGGCGTCGAGGTTTTGCTGAAGAAGGAAGGGCCGTTCCGCTCGTCGCAGCTGTAAGGTCCATATTGTCACAGTCTTAGATTCGCGATGATCGAAATCTCGGTAGCGCTATCAGGGTCACACCTCTTTTCGCTGTCGATCACGTCGGGGTCACCAATTTGAGGTGAATAGGCTGTGATAGTTGTAGTTGCTGGCTGTAGAGTGTGGAGGCCGACTGAGATACCGAGATAGGTTCTGCATACGGGTGTAGATGTCGCTTGCTGGGGTACTGCTGCATTTTCTTCTTATTTTTGTATCTTGGAAGAAAAATCGGAACTACGGTCACCGGGATTTGAAACTCGGGTCCCGACCGTTCGTAACCTAAGGCGTTAACCACTGTGCTGCCGTCGTTCGACACTAGCTGGTGTCGTCCGGTGGTATTTCCTGTCGAGTGCCGCCACAAAATAAACGAATTTTAATGCGACATCATTCAAAACGAAGATAATCCGTTAAATCGACGGATGTCCTTTAAAAATGTGTAAAATGATAAAGTTTTATGGAAGACAAAGGTATAATTATTGATACAAAAAATATTTAAATATCTCTAATGCGTTCATGTAACAAGGGGCTATATTTTTCAAGTTTAGTTAAACAGAGGCGAGACCGGCAACTCGGCCTTAATTTCTTTTTAAACGCGAAAAATCTTCCTTCTTTTCGATACTTCTTGTTCTGCTTCTCCCACCCCAACATCGACGAACGACTCGTAAAGAGGAAACACTGCCTTGGAAGAAAAAAGACAAAGAAAACGTTAGGACAGGGAAGAGGAAAACAGCGAACGAGATATTTGCGACACGATGCTCGATGTGACGTTGGTGAAATGAGCTTTTTACGACGGGGCCGGATGGACGTGCATCGTGAACGGGCGAAGAACGAACAAAGAACTCGCACGAGAAAGTTCTCGAGAAAGAACGGAAGCTTCCAACGAACGAAAGAAAACGTCAGTGGTCGCGACGCTGCGCCGCAAGCACCCGTCCACTTATTCTTCTACTCTTTCCACTTCTTCACCGTTCTCCTCCTTTTTCTTCACTACTCTCTTCTTGTCTACTCATATATCCACCGTTTTCGCCTACATCTTGACCTCACCTACATTGGCCTCCACAAAGCCGCCTGTTGTCATCGCATTTTTCTCTCTTATTTCACCTCGCCATTATAACATAACACGCTATATTATATCTCGTTATATTATATTAGGTTATATTATATCATAACACGTTACATTATATTACGTTATAATGTATGTTATATAGCATTACGTTATCATATAATACGTTATAATGTATTACGTTATATTGTATTACGTTATATTATATTTCGTTATATTATATCATAACATGTTATATCATATTACGTTCTGACCTTCCCTCAAATACTGCGCAGAAGGCGTACGATACCATGATCGCGGACAGATATGAACACGGGCATAGTGGGGATATCGAAAGATGACAGAAGGAAGCAAATGGATCAACAGTGCATTTGTCAGTAAGCAATCGTCAGTAGGAGTCACGTGTCGAGAACTGTGCACAAATCGCTAATCAAGAAAATAAACAAACTGTTGGACGAAACAGTACTCGAGTACTCATGTGGAACGTTCTACAGCTCAGTTATATTGTATTACGTTATAATATATTACGTTATATTGTATTACGTTATAATATATTACGTCATATTGTATTACGTTATATTATATTGCAGTATATTCTCTTACGTCGTATTATATTACGCTATATAATATTACGTTATATATTATATTACGTTATATAGTATATCGTTATAATGTATTCGTTGTATTATATTATGTTATGTTGTATCTCGTTATATTATATCACGTGATATTATATTACGTTATATCATAATACGTTATATTATATCATAACAGGTTATATCATAACACGTTATGTTATATTACATTATATTATATCATTATACGTTATATCATGTTACGGTTTATTGTATTAAGTTATATTATATCACGTTGTCATCGTTTTTCTGCCGCGCGTTATTGCATTCTTACTCGACCGTGTTTTTTGCCCATCTCTCCTTTGGTCATTTACTCCTTTCCCCACCTCCGACCTCCTCTTTTTTTCCTTCCTGGACTCCACCCGTTTCCGCGTTCGACTTCCTCTCGCTTTGTTACGTTCGTTTGATTCATGTTTGTCCTCTTGCTCTCGCTCTTGTTTCCTCGATTTCCGTATCGTGGTTATTAAATCTGAACGATCGTTCCCCGTTTGCATAGCAATTTTCCGAATAAAGCGAGTCGTTCGTATTTATGCCAGCGGGTATGGTACGTTTCTGGCTCTGGGATTAATTCTACGGAATTTATGCAGTTTTCCGAAATTCCCAGGAGCTACGAGGTTTCTTTATGAAGTGTACATTGTTGGCCTTATTCTCTGCATATCCGCTGTGTGATTTATTCGTTTGTTTCGGTATTTTTACATATGTACGTACGTTGTTGGCGTATCACGAAGTGTATATTAGATGTTTTTTAAACGTCTTGTTGTAACTTCACAATGGTACAGCCTTTGCGGTAATGAAATATAGTTGAAGATAGGTGGGAAATATGATATCTTATTTCTGGTTTTTTGTAGGAAAGCAATTTTAAAATTCGGTACATCGTCAACCTATTACATATCAAAGTTATTTATCTTTCTGGATTAAACCTGTGAATTGTGATGCTTCTTGAACATTCAACGAATATTAATAACATTACAAACACGTATATGCAAACTAATGTTAATTACAAAGCAGGGTGAATTTATCATTTGCTTTGAAAATATCTTCAAATCCATTATGTTATTTTCTTTTATTTTACATTGAAATAGTTCTTTTTAAACACCATACGACACAAAAGTTGAAAAATCAACAAGGCTGCGTGCTGTTCGATTATGAAATAATAACGATGAAACTTCAAAACCTAGTGTAAAACGTAACGAATCGGGAGATTGTATAATGCTCTGATTTTTATGAAATATTTTATTTCATCGATTTCTCCTTTGCGAGCTTCAAAGAAAAGGACTTTGACTTTCAGATCATCTTTGCTTTTAATCGTTAAGGGGGTAAGTTTTAAGCGCCCTTGAGCTTTAACCTTTCACAGTATCCAACTTTTAAATGCTTACGGAGCACATATCTCACTAGGTCGAATATCGATCCACCCTTTAAGCCACTTCTGAAATTTTTGAACTCTCGTCCCTTCAATTACACCAGCTTAAACTTTCAGAACTTCTCAAGCTTCGAATCTCGACTTTTAATCTAATCCTTTGACATCCGACACTGACTACAGACCACCGGTATTCGACTTCTGCACCTTCGAACCTTTTCGATCATCGGACTTACCGCCAAGTTTTCTGTTATTTCCCTTTAAGCGTTCTCCACTCTTATTAATAGACTGGAAAACTCCATTAGCTTCCATATTAATAACCGAGCGATGTACTCAGCCACGGTGAATAATGAATTTTCTGTATTTTTTTATTTTTATTTATAACTTCTGTCATACGTGATGCTCGTCATCTAAAATTTTGGAAATACTATGGTCATTTCAAGAAACAAATCACATAACGTCGTCGCCATCGAAAGTTTCTGCATATATGAATTTAATCGTAGATACGTACGTACTATTGGAATGCGAAGCTCTAGCTGTATCGTTGAATCCAATAGAATTAAAAATAAATTAGCGAAGCTTTACAAGTCACTAGTATCAATAAATACTTAAATATCGGTATCTTTAAAGGACATCAATAACCTTCATCGCGGAAGAAATGAAATTTTACAAGTAGAGAGATTACAAGTTATTCGACTATTCCACATGAAACTATGAAATTGCAACCTATAACTTGTGACTTGTAACTATCGATTGCCTAATATTATTAGCTGGTAAATCATTGCGCAAGAGATCGCATAACGTGATGTCATAATCAAAAAATCAAAAATCATATAAATCCCTCCATATAAATATATCAAATGTGATAGGATTTTTGATAACGGCTGCCTAATCACAACGCAATATTGCTACCAAAATGTATTCATGCCTAAATCTTTCCATGTAAATAGATATACAGTACCAACACTGCGCAATAAATTTGATTACAAACATATCGCGTGTAATTCATATGCAACGAATGCAAAGTGCTTCGAAGACCAAAGATCTGGAGCAAAAATCGAAGGACCATGTTTTTTTTTTTAAATTAAAACGACAAGAAAGTAACATATCGCTCATTCCTATCTCCTCTGCTACTCGTTTCACCTTGTTTTTCTTCTGTAGTATGCTCGGGACATTTCCAAACGACTCGCCGTAGAAGAAAGAGCACGCAATTTCCTCGAGCAGGAGGTTGACTTCAATAAGCAATCTCGATGGGAAAAAGTCGAGATGACAAGTAACGCGAAGGCACAGTGTTGGATAGTGGTGAACTCCCCGGTAATTAGATGTTGCGCTCGACGTCGTGATAATTAGCACGGATTGTTTTTCTCGCTACGGCAATTATCGTAGTTCGTGTGTCGTTTCTTCTTCGGTCGAGGACAACGAATAGGATTCGCCGGCTCCGCGTCGTCGTCGTGTCGTGGGGCAAGAAAATGGGGCGGAAAGGAACGCGCGTATGACACAGACGAAAATAATTGTGGTCGGTTAGGACGCTGGGAAAAGTTTGTCCCGTTTTGTGGAAGTAATTACACTTTTACGTCGCTGGTGAACGGGACTTGGCTTTGACGAACTCTCTGGCAAGATTGAATAGCCGCCCCGTCTGCCCCTGCTTCATTTTTCTTTTTCTCTTCATTTTTGAGGACGACCAGTCCTCGACGCACCCGTTCGAACGTTGCCTTAACTCGCGTAATCATGCCCTCGTGGCAAAGTTTCTTACAACTGGATTTCTCTCATTGTTTTTAATTATGATAGATCTTGAAATCTACTTGCAACTATATCTTGTTTAAGAAAATACTGTTCAATTATAGGAATTCTGCGATGGCAATCAAAATTCTTTATGGAGTTGTATCTTAATTTACATTTGCCCTATTTTTTGGTTACGCGGTTCCTCACGTCGCTCTTAATCACCGTTGATCTCGAAATGTGGCCGTTACAAAGTAATCTGTCTCGTTTAGAGGAGCTGAGATTTTTCTTGGCTATAGAAATTTTAATTCTTGTACATG